AAATCTTGCCTGAGCCCACTCCAAGGCTCTTCATGTTAGCTGAGAAAGGATGAAGGTATTCTTCTTGTAATCTGTGGAAAAGCTGCCTGGAGAGTTCTGGAAAATAAGTCGGCATTGAAACAAAAATCCCTTACATTTGCTTGGGATACCTGAAAATTTCTCTGGGAGAGACGGACGAAATTCCGGAAGTGACGTGACAGGCTCTGGTTCCGGATACGGAAGTTGGACGGGCTCCGCTCTAGGACCTGATTGTCTGGAAAACTCCTGCGAAAACTTATTAAGTTGAGAGTTGAGCTCACCAGTAAATCTGTCCACAAGCCGGTCGTAAACATCACGAATGACGCACTCAATTCTCCTAGCCATTTCATTGTGGCTCTCACGGAGGGAGGCATCAAGTCTCTGAACCTGAGTCGGTAGATCCTTCAGAAGCCTCCAGAGGGGTTCCGCTGGGAATATTTGTTGGTCGCAGGGTTCTGTCATGATGGGCTCTCAAGGGGGACCCAATAATGCAGAACACCACTGAGGCGGAAACAGGAGTAAAGGTTTTAACAGAGTTTATTTAGGCTAGCACTGAGATTATGACAGGTTCGGGTTCAGGCCTGGGAAACTGGTTCACTGGAGTCTTGAGGGTTCTTGAAGTTAGCTTTGGGAGAGTCACTGTTGGATCTGGAGAGGAGTTGCTCAGCAGAGTCCGCTTGCTGCTTCAGCGTCTCACGTCTAGAAATGAACAGACCTTGGCTTTGGGTTTTCCAGCTCTTAGTCCTGAGCTACATGGAAGTTCTCTATGGTTCTTCAGGTTAGGCTCTGAGGGTCAGCTCGGCAGGTTAGCTCTTCCAGAGCTTCACAGAGGAGACACAGGTTTCCAACTGGATCAACACTGCGACATTGAGGCAAGGTCTGAAGACAGCTTATATAGTGGATCCTCTGATGAAGGTAATGAGCAGCAGCTGTGCAGGAGGCTCTGCTCAGGAGGATCCACGGCGGACTCTGCTGGAGAAAGATGGTACTACTCCAGCTCCCAACATAGATTGTTTTAACTTTACAAATTTGTACCTGTGAGTTATTAAAAGTACCTTAAACTTTACAAAACAGTGTCAAATTGGCGTCAGCAAGACATTTGCTCAGTTTTTCTGAATACAGGAGCAATCAGTAAGTGATGGTTCCATTCTCTTCTGCAATAAATTGTAATTTTCTTTAAAAGGAACGAGTCCCTTATACCAGCAAAAAATGCACATATTTTGCAATGTTAAACTGATGCTAACAGATGCCATTTTTGCTAAGAGGTGTCCCTATTGACGTTAAATGAATCACAATTTTTCTTTCCTTGTAATTCAAAAAGGTGGTTACATGTGGTTAGCTCACTTAACTGATAAACAATTTGTTCTAGTTTTCATATTTCTGATCACATATCATTACATGTTTAACATATATTTTTATCACCTGCTAAACTCCTGTTGTATTTCACGGAATGTTACATCTTACAATAAAAGGGAAAAAAAGTTATATTTAAAGGCTTTGGTTAAGTATGATGATATTGATAAAAAAAAAAAAGATCCCAGATATAAAAGACTAACATTGGGCAAATTTTCATCTCCATGATATTGGATTTAAGTAGAAAAGAGAAAGAAAGAATAAATGTAGCTCCACTGTCACAACCCAAGAAGAACAAGCATGAAATTCCATCAGAGTTTTATTTATACGACCATACAGTTTCTGTCATTCCTGCTGAGGTGGAGAAAATATTAGTGTTGGCCACTAGCCAGGGACCTAACAAGAGAAGGCTGACAGTTATAATGTACAGTAATGGAACGATGAAGGATGAAGGAACTGCATACAGGAACAAGTTTCATCATACCTCATGCTGCAACATGAAGCAAAAATAATCTACATTTTTGGGTGTTAGTGTTAGGAAATACTGTCGAGCCACAATGAAAAGGTAACATTAATAAATCTCCAGGTGCACTTGTTACAAGAGACAATATAATCCAATAATTTTTATTAATATATATAATACTGGGCTCATGTAAGATCCCTTTTTATCTGCACCAATATAAACATGGCAATATAACAATGTCAAGTCACAGTAGATTTACTTGACACTTTATAGTGAACAAACTCATATGCTAGGGGAGGGGCCTAGTGGTCAGGGCATACAGTATTGCTTGAAATCCTGTGGTTCTGAGTTTGAGCCCCACTCCCACAGACTGCCACTCTGGGTCCCTGAACAAGAACCTTAACCCCACACTGCTCCCAGGGTGCCCCATGATGGCAGCCTTCTGCTCTCCAAGGGGATGGGTTAAATGCAGAGCTAAATTTTTCCATTGTGAGATCAATAAAGTTCAATTATTATATATTTTTATGCTCCTGAGGCCCATTTTTTTTTGTTCTTGAAATCTACTCAATACAACTGAGGCACAGTTATAGAAAATCTGCTGTATGATGTATTTTTCTTGTAAAACTTGTTTAAATGTACTTATCTCAGAGGGGATAAGATAATGGGGGCTCTTCCTTAGTCTGTTCTTTCTCCGGGAAAGAGTCAAATATGTCAATCTGTAGAACACATTTCTTTTTTGAGAGAGAGAGTTTACTCAGAGTATTAAAGTAATCTATTTCATTTAAGAACAATGAAAGAGCTCAGTGTTGCCCTTTGAGAGACAAATGTATTACTGAGATTGATCCTTAAGCAATACCCGGGTATGGTATTTCCTGCATGTATGCACATAGATAAGACTGTACCAGTCTTATCTATGTGCAACAGAACATTAAATCTCAGAATCCTACTCTAACTGGTTTCCAAAAACTGCAGCTGTCAGCAAAAACCTTAACCACAAACTTTCCAGATACGGTTATAACAACAGTTTAGCCAGTCATCGTCCAGCACAGAGTACACAATCATATCTCTTCACATACATACAATGTTAAAAATACCGATAGTAATCTCTAACAAATTTATGTTTATATTTTTTTCTATTTTAAAAACACAGCTTCATAACAGTCCAAGTGTGTGTTCCAAAAATTCTTTGAAGGCAAAGATTGAGTAATGTAAGCACAGTTAGAGATTAAAGTGCAAAGGGAAAGGTGAAATCACAATGTCGTGAATGGTCAGTTTTGTAGATGTCTGGGACCATCTTGGTCTGGTTCTTTTTCTTTTTTTCTTTTGCAGTCACATAACTTGTAACATATGGAGTCCTAGAAGGAGTCCAGTGAGACAAAGGCAAGCAATGTTAGTATTGTGGAGCAGGGACCTTCTCTAGAGCCAGATCTGGGGTTGAGGTTCATCAGTAGCGACTGGTGGATGGGTTCCTTCTCGAAAGCCCACCACCCCGGTCGGCACATCATCTGCAGGGAGAACAGTATGGGACTGGGGCAAAGAGGTTTGTGCAGCAGTCAGAAAGGGAGGCCTCAGTGCTATGAACCATAAGAAAACCGGCTCTGTAGATGTGAATTATTATCTCTCTGGAGAGGTAGAAGCCTGAGCTTGTGTGGCAGGTGGAGCAATACTGAGCAGAAATGGTTGGGGCTTACCTCTACATACATCTTGTCATTAATCTTTTCTTTTTTCTGTTCTATCCCTCATTTACCTCTCCCCCTAGTGTTTTATGATCCTATAAAACTGCTTCCTGCTTTTCTTCCACCATCTCACATTTTCTGGGATTCTTTCTTAGTTTTTGATTAATTATAGCCTGACGTAGTCCTACTCAATTCTAGTCAGAATATGAGTCTGATACTGCTCCATAGAGCTGTGATTATGGGGCGTGTTTCGAACGAACCAGGAAAAAAAATGCCTCTGCACTCAATTGGATAGACCTACAACCAATAAGAGCAACGGAGTGCGTGACGTATGTTAAGCGATGCATAGTTGTTGTCAACAAAAATCAAAGCGTGCAGTTGCACGCCTAGAATAAGAAGATGAGCCTTGATCGTGTTTCTCTGTTCCTCTTTTAAAATTAATTTGCTGTTGATATCTTCTAGAACAGACCTAATAGCAGTATCTACTCACCTCAACTCTCCGGCGGCAGCCATTGTTGTTGTCACCCAAGCGCGCTTTGGTCACGTGGTTGATTACGTTACTGTTGATCATCTGTCCATCATCGTATAAAGCCCGCCCTGACAATTTGATTGGATCGCCAGAGGGTGGGCGATCATACTCGCGCTACTATGGAGCAATGCCAGACCGAACTTCCCGACCTCAAACCTTGTGGGCGGGACTAAGTTCGGAATGGCACCCAGGCTAGATTAATTAATCTCTCTCATTTGAACTGTAATGTTTTCCTCTAGTTAGGTTGACCTTTTAATTACATAGCACAAAGGATGGAAAGTAACTAGTTACATTACGATTAATTTCAACAGCAAATGTAAATATTAGTCTTATCTGGTCTTTGTTGATATGATTTATAATGCATAAAGCTGAAAGCAAGGCATTACCTGTTACTTATAGAGTGTATTATCTAAAACAATTGGATGTGAGCGATGGTGGATATAAAGGACAACTGATGGGATGAAAATCCAAACCCTGGATTCTGAAGAGGAGGATATAAAGCAAGAAAGATGGATGTTGAGATGGGGGAAATAATCGACATCAGAGAAGCCTGTAGACAAAAGCTACATATAATGCTTCCAGATAATGTATGATGTTATAAAGTATCTTGAAATTTACTTATGTGTGTTTAAAAAAAAAAAAAAAAAAAACATGCATTTCAAATTATTGAGTAACAGTTTAAGATCAATATTTACTCTTATCCCTCATGAAATAGACCAGTAACTTTTACATAAATTAACATTTTGTATTGATAATTTTTGGACTGGCAGCTTAACTTAAAATTTAGTAAAACATTTTTTACCTAAGTATTTTCTTTTTTTCACATTTACCACCTATGAATAGGTCCCAGTAGTTGTGCTGTGGTGTTGTGACATGGCAATCATCTGAATAAGCACCTTGACAGGCCAACCAGATATCAGGGAGGTCCAGTTCCCCCACAGCCACCCACCCAAGCTCCACCCCTGCAAGCCACATGTGTTACTTATTAACTTGGTGAGGGGCTTATCTCCTTTTTTGGAGTTTGAACACAAAGCTCTTCAGTGACTTGCCGTTTTCAGGCAAGCAGGGCTTTTGGTAACTTCTGAGATGGGTAAGTGAGTTTTGTTAGAATGATAGTATAAGGTTGGGAATATCATGAAAATGTGTATATTGTAGGTGAAACTATACTGACGAAGTTCACGTTGCATGATTTATGAGCTATGTTTTTTTCTCTCTCAATTTAGGAGCCGTGCCTTTGCACCATGTGGGTGGCATATGCCTGTTTTTTAGTATGTTTCAGATTTTCTTCACTCCATACACTGATGCAGGAAACATTTTGGTGTATCCTGTAGATGGCAGCCACTGGATCAACATGAAGATCCTACTTGAAGAACTTCATGCCAGGGGACATAACATCAGTGTTATAAGAACCTCCACTACCTGGTACATTACAGAAAAATCCCCCCTCTACACCTCTATAACAGTTAAAAGTGATACAGATGTGAAGGCGTTGTTAAATGATTTCGTACAAGACCAAATGAAGGTACAGTATGTAGATATAATGGCCTTTTTTACTTTGTTTTTATTTTTATCTTTCTATACAGCACGGTGCTACATTCTTTTCATTTTCATTTTAGGTGCTTCAAAAACGGACTTCTCTGCTGACATTTTTCAGTCTCACAAAGAAATTTCTATCCTTCTTTGTTCAAGCCCATACCCTGTGGTGTGATGCCTTATCACAAATCTTTGAAGATCCAAATTTGCTTCAAAGCTTAATAGATACCCAGTATGATCTGGTTCTTACTGATCCAGCAGTAGGAGCAGGTGTTGTGTTGGCTAAATATCTGAAACTTCCATTAGTCCTCAACGTTCGCTGGATTACGAGCGGAGAAGGCCACTTTGTGTTGGCTCCCTCACCCCTCTCTTATATCCCAGTAATTCCAGGATCTGGATTAACAGACAAAATGGATTTCTCCCAGAGAATCAAGAACATTTTATTTTATAGCCTGATCAAATTCCAAGACACATTTATTGGACCGGTGTATGATGCTATGTGTGAGAAATATATTGAGGGAGGATGCGACATTGTCTCACTGCTCCAAGAAGCAGACATTTGGCTTTTCAGGTCTAATTTTGTGTTTGACTTTCCCCGGCCAACAATGCCAAATGTTGTCTACATTGGAGGGTTCCAGTGTAGGCCTTCACAGCCTCTGCCACCTGACCTGGAGGAGTTTGTTCAGAGTGCGGGGGAACATGGAGTCATTATCATGAGTCTGGGAACTTATGTTGAAAATTTGCCAGAAGAAACTGTGGATGAAATTGCCGGTGTTTTTGCTGCGATGCCCCAAAAGGTAAAATATTATCCTCAGTTCTCTTTATCTTTTAAAGCTTTCAAGTTATGACAAGCCTCACTGTACTAACCAAGACATCAAATTTGGACCATTTGACATATTTTCTTTTCAGTAATGTTGCTTATGGTGTGTTTAATTACCTCAAAAACTTGGAGGTTGGAGTGATGTGACCTTCAAAATTATAAATGGTTATCATTTCCTGCTTTGACACATGCAGAGTATTCTACATTGTTCTATAACATCTGGCCACTACGGCCTGTGTTACAACTAAAAAAATTATGAAAATTCTTTTCTGTACACCATTTTTGTGCATGTATATGGAGCGGAAATATTTAGTCTAACAAACACTTAAAAAAATAATGTGATTACCAGAAATTGTCTTTTCCAATAAAAATAAATCCCACTAAACATCTTCAACTCTAAATTGATATAGCCTAAGGTCAGGAGCTCAGTTTTCGGTTTCACGATGGCTACTATGAATAAGTTCAATCAACTCTAAGTAGATCCACTCAGAGTTAAGCACGTGCATAACAAGTATGAAAAGCCAACAAAGTTATATATACCTAGAAAAGTTTGCACATTTTAAGTGGCTATTTTGACATTAATCAGTTTGACTGAATATACATTTATATCTGAAATATATAGAAATTTTGTTATGTACAGAACTATGACCAAAAGTTGGGTGCCCTGAACAAAAATCTGACTAAATCAGGAAATAAAATGTGATTGGCTGTAAGGAAAGCAGAGACAGAAGACACTCTGAGTTTATCGAACAAGACCTGTCCTAACAAGGTTAGCCCTTAGTTTAGATACCAGGTTAGATATCAGAATAATTAGAGACAAAGGGAAAAATAATTCAATCTAAACATGCAATCCCAGTATTCACTGAAAGAGAGGACAGGATTTAACTCTGTTTTTTAATTCATTTAATGAACTAGGAATTACTTCTTCAGCAAAATGGCCTAATCTGTATACTGTAGTTACCAATCACAAACAAAGGTTAATCTTTCTGGTTTACATGTTTTAAAAGTAACTTTACTGTTAAAGTTAACTGCAGATCATGTGTAGATATTACTATTAATTTCCTCTTCTTTATGCATTTTGAATCAGGTCATTTGGAGACACAAAGGGAAGCATCCCTCTACATTGGGCAACAATACTCTAATGGTAGACTGGATGCCACAAAGGGACCTCCTCGGTCATCCGCAGATCAAAGCATTTGTGGCTCACGGAGGAACAAATGGAGTCCAGGAAGCCATTTACTATGGAGTACCTGTTCTTGGCATTCCCTTGTTCTTTGACCAGTATGACAACCTTCTACGTTTGCAGGAAAGAGGAGCAGCAAAGATTATTCTGCTTCATGAAATCTGTGGTGACACCTTTGAGAGAGGTGTTAAAGAAGTACTCTATAATGACAGCTACAGATATAATATACAAAGACTATCAAGTTTGCACCGAGATCAGCCAGTAACACCCATGGATCAGGCCACATTTTGGATTGAGTATGTGATACGCCACAAAGGAGCCCCTCATCTACGTACAGAAGCTTACAGGATGCCTTGGTATTCATATCACTGTTTAGATGTACTATTATTTTTGATTACTTCTGTAACTGTGCTCCTATTTCTTTTTTTTGCTGTATTTAGATTTCTGTTCTGTAGAAAAGGAAGAAACGGAAAACTAAAACAAAAATGAGCATAATGATTGGATTAATGTACTTTCTACTGTGCCCGATAAAATCATTTAAACCCTTTGAAGTTTTGTCAGCTTCTTTTATTTAAGGGTCAACATTTCAATGTATTTGTTTCAAATTATATAGAAAGGAGAAAAACCTTTATAAAAATTGTATTTATTTTAGATTCTTTGTTTTATAGTCTGCAACTACAGTTTGCAGGAGGTCTCTCCCAGATGTGCAAACATATTATATAGGTGTAAAACATTGTCAGGTTTATTCAATGATGATTATAAAATTAATGTGTGCTTATGAAACATTTGTGCAAGGGGATGCTCCACTCCTGTCTCATGATCCAGTCAGGAGACCATCCTGCCTTGTCATTCTGATGGTGCATTCTGTCTTCATGAACTGATCAATTGTTCTGTCAGAACAATACTCTGTTTGTAACCATGCGTCATGTTCTGTTAATAAACGCTCTGCAGAGGAGGTCCAGTAGGAGACAGTATGTTTGAGTCTGGGGTTCAACTGTCTCTCCTTCCTGCAGGACTAGTATCGATAAGTCTGTATTTCAGTTCTTCTTAAGAAAAAACCTATCAAAGAACCTGACAAATATTTCCACTATTCTTTGCAAAAATGCCTAACCTTTTTAGCTTAATGTTTGTAGATGTTTGGTTAGGACTTTGACTCAGCCATTGTAAAATATGAATGTGGCCTGATTGTGAAGTGGATAGAATTTTTTTGTTGTTGTCCGTTTCGGCCCAGATCTTTAGTCCTTCTGCATGTAAGAGGTTTGGAATTGGGCCTCTATTAGTTGTTGCTTGTAGGCATAATTACTGCTAATGCTTAAGATCTGCCAACCAGGCAGCACAAGGAAGCTTTCCCTTGGGATTTTTTTCCCCCTACAGAGGCCTGTACCTAAAGCAGAACCCAGACCCAAGAAAAGAGCTTTTCCTCATGGGGACCAGTTGATAATCCCCACAGGTACTTTTTTATCTCCACAATGTACCATATATATGAGGAATTGTTCCCACATTTTAACAAATTCATGGCCACACGGCTACACCTACACAAATGACAGACACCCACTAACTTAAAACAGATACATATTTAAACACCACATCTACATATGTTTGGCTGTAGAATATAGGATAGGTAGAGGGTCTATAAAGGAGTTATGTATGCTATTTATTCAGAGGCATGTACTTTTCACCTTCTCACTCACACCTATGGTGAATGTAAGGTTCGTGATATGGAATGTGCATGGAGCTGGCACCAGAGAGAATTTTTTCTTTGGAAACTTTACATGCACAAGTGCACATTCATGAACAACTACAGGTGCTTAGTTCCAGGTACTTAGCGATACACTTCCATACAGAATGCCCATATTCTTATCTTCAGGTAACACAAATTACATGTCAGATTAAATAATACTATTTATACTTCAGCAATAGTATCTAGGTGTTACTTTATTGTATATCTTGTATCATGTCTGATGGTTGTGATATTTTTTTTTACATCTCTTTACAGGTGATGAAGCAGACTGAAAATGTTTTATCATTATCTCCCTTTTATGTCCTCTTTCTTTAATCTTTTCTCCTTTTTTTCTGTTTTTCCTTTCCTGTTCTACCTACAGTCTCCACATAATCTGTGAAACTCCCTGCATAATTATAATAAAGCAATTTATATGCAAAAAATAAGTGGAACACTATGGCGATAGCCGTACTTGTGATAGCCTCCACTTGTGAAAGTAAATTCTATTGGGCTCTTTTTGGCATCAAGACAATTATTCTTATTGCCACATTGCCAGGCTGCTTTCTCACATTTGACCTTGCGTTTTCTTTTAAACTGTTGTTCAGCCATGTTTAGTTTAGACAATATTTACATAATCCTAGTGGTCTCTTTGTGCTTACCAGTTTTTCTAATTATCTGCTCACTTACTAAATGTTACCCTTTCTTACAGCTGTTTCACTTTCAGTTGATTAGATTTGCTGGGTTATTTTAGTTTTTTTCAGCCTACTCTCATTGTTTTTTTTTTAAACATTCCACTTCAGTAGGAGCTTCCTAACCCTAATTAAGTTTTTTCTTTTTTCCATAATCACGATATATGAAAGCTTGTCTGTACAGTAAATGCAATAAAGCTTATAGCTATGTGCCAACGTTTGAGTTTATCCTAAACAGGAGAAGAAATAACGACTTTACATTCCCTAAATAAAAACCCTTTGTTGGGATCCAGAGGCTTGCCCACCAGAGGACGCTGAGGATCCCTTCCTAATGGTTTGTGCTGCTGTTTGGATCTGGGGTGCTGTCTACTTTCCTCCACCAGAAGGCGTACTGGATCTCCTGAAATTGGAGCTGACATCACCAGCTGCTTCTCATCTGCTCATCAGGGGACCAGTACTTAAGTGGGCTGTGGACAACACTCCGGGGCCAGAGTGTTTTGCCAGTTATGGTTAGCAAGTCTGAGCCAACCTGCCTGCCTGAATCTAGACTCCCTGATTACCTGAACCTGTTCTTGTCCTCTCTGCTTCTAGGAAGAACCTGTCTGAAATCAGAAACTCTGGAAGAGTTTCTCTGTCAGAAACCTGTCTGTCTGACTACTGAGGAGTCCTGGAGATCAGAAACCAAGGAAGGGTTTCTCTGTCTGAAACCAGTCTGTCTTATCAAGGAAGAGCCCTGGAGAATCAAACCCGTCAGCCCTCAGCCTGCCGCCAGCCTCTGGACCCTCCAGGTTTCCCCCTCTGTTGCTCTGCTCAAACTTTAGAACACGTACAAACCTGCGGTCACTCAACCAGCAAGATTACCAGGACTTCTGCTAACCATTCTGTCCCCCTCTGCAGTGAAAATCTGTCGTGACCAGTCCTGGACCAGATTTTCCCAGAACCTGTTCAGTGTTTAACCTGTGTGTTTCACAATAAACCTTTGAACTTTTTCCCCTGTCTCAGAGTGTGTTCTGCATGTGGGCTAGTAACTTAATACCCATCATGACAGAACACTCTGGCCAACAGACTAACCCAGCGGAACCACTGGAGGATTTATGAACAACATCAAACCCAGATTCTGAGCCTTGACTCCACCCCCCGTGAATTCAACCACCGTCAAACTAAAATCAACCGCACCCCGCAGGAGGATACCCAGCGCGTCACATCAGAGACAGAGCCCGTTCAACTTCCTGTTCAAGATATTGATCCCCCATTCAGGTCGTTTCTCGAATTCAGCCCTTCACTGCCTGAGAGATTTTTCGGCAACTCAAGTAAGTGCAGGAGATTTATGTTCCAGTGTCTGCTCATTTTTGAGTATTATGAGTCGTGTTTTTCTGATGAGAAAAGTAAAATAGCGTTTGTCTTGTAATTTCTGTCCGGTAAAGCCCGGGCGGAGGCCAGATTTCCCTTAGAAGCTAGTCTTAGCTGTACTTATGGGGAATTTATTCAGGAGTTTAAAAGGACCTTTAATCAAGACACTAATAAATCAGCGTATCTCGTGAAATTTTGGAGGATAAATCCGCTTCCCATCTTCACCAGGCTAGCTCAACCCGTTTCTGCAAACACATTCATGATCGTCAGTTAACACCTTCTACTAAGAAACTCAAAATAGGCCCACCAGTCACACCCCAAACAGCTAGAGCTCCCCATATCCATGAGTCTGACCTCTGGAGCCTTTTTTATGGGGATAGGGAGGATCTCTTCCCCTTTCAGCCACCTCATTCAGCTCCCCGCCAGCCAGATCAGGCATCAGCCTCTGAACCTGTTAGCAAACTAGTAATCCTAGCATCTGAACCAGTAACCGAACTAGCAAGCCCAGCTTCTGAATCCGTTAGCAGACCAGTTAGCCTTGAGCCAGAACCAATTAGCGAACCTGTTAGCTCAGCTCCAAAGACCCCTCGGCGTAAGAAACGGCGTCGCCGTGAGCCCGCTCTGAGCCGTCTAGAGACCCCTGAGTCAGTTCTGAGCCGTCTAAAGACCCCTGAGCCTGCCCTGAGCCATCTTGAGTTAGCTTCGTGCCGTCCAGAGACCCCTGAATTAGCTTTGTGCCGTCCAGAGACCCCTGAGCATTTATTTAAAAGGGCTTCAGAGTTCGGAGTTGGTGGGAAAACGCCTCAAAGAGCCTGTAAGTGTCAGTGAAATGTTTTATTTCTTGGCAAAAGGTATGTTTATTTTTAATAGTTAAGATAATGTATTTTATGTTGTTTGGTTCACGTTTTGCAAATGTGTAAAATGATTGCATTATTTTTTGTGTTGAGTTATTTCTTGTTGAAAGTTATCGCGAGATTTGCATTTACGTGAAAGGCGACGTGTCTTGAATAAACTTAGAAGGCGCAGAAGCTTGGAACAGAGCTATGTGGAGCAGCCTTGTGTTTACTGTAGCTGTCAAGGTATTTGTAGTTATGTTTGTAATATTTTGCAATGTTATTGGTTATGGTGTTTAAATTACTTAATATTTTAATTTAGAGTGGACGAGGAAGAATTAAACTGTTAAAGACCTCCGAAGTGGCAGGCGGTCACGAGGTAACTTCTGTTAAAGCACGTGTCACCTGATTGTCTGTAAATGTATCGATATCTAAAACTTTGTCTTCTATTTCTGTAGTTTTCACGGCGTTAATAAAGAGCCCGTCTAAAGGAAGCCGTGCCAGTGTTGTCACTTTGGAGTTACAGTGAAAACTCACCCAGCCAACGCCGGTAAGAAGCTCGTTAAGACGACGGCAGCTGCAGTGAGCGACGGTACCGTGATGTAACACAAGAGGGCGCCATTTGTCAAGCTCACCGTTTATAAGAAACCAGCAGCAACAACCTTGTACAGCTGAAGTAGGATGGTAATTAAGGACAATGTTAAAAGTAGAATAAGAGTGGATTAATTGAAATTTAAAACCACAATAAGTTTCTACAACACATTTGTCAAAAGGTTACTTATTCTCTTCTGAACTTCAAGCTATGAGTTGTTGCTAAGGAAAAGGTGTTGTGTTTTTATCGTGAGGTCAAACTAAATGTGAAGTTAACAAAGTTCTTTAAGTTAAAATACATCTGTATTAAGAGTGAAGGTCATTACAGCTACAATATAAAGTAATATTCATGTATATATATTAGTTGGAAATTTGAAACAGTATTTGGCAATTTAAATTGAGCCTTTAGTGACACTTAACCAGACTTATAAGATGACTGACAAAGATAATAAAGAGCTCTATGCTGTATCATGCACTGAAGTGGAGAAAATTGATACTGAGCAGATCTCAGAACCACACTGTTCGAAAAAGTGAAAGAGTTAGAACGCTAACCGAAAAGGGTAAAGAGCTTCAGGAGGAGAAACTTAAAATGCTTCAACACAGATATGCAGTCGCCTTTGAAAAGTGGAGATATGCAGCAAGACTTAGCAAAGTAATACTAAGAAAAGAAGCTTCAGACAGTGAGTTAATGGAGCTGATTAATAATGTAAACATCACCTGCAGAGATACGCAAACCATTTATGAAGAAATACGACAAATACAAACTCCTGGTGCTGACACAAGGCGCAAAGTAGATGCATGTACATCATTTTCTGAATTCATTGTCAGAAGAGCTGAGAAACAACTGCAAGGAGATGTTGCAGAAGGTGACGAGGAGCCGTGGCCAGATTTTGGGTCATGCTTGGGATCTGAAAGTACGACATCAAGGTCAAAATCCAGAAGGTCTAAAAGTAGTTCAGGGAGTTCACAAACGACCAAAAGATTGGAAGCAGAGGCTGAAGCAGCTGCATCTCAACAAATATTAGCAGTTATGGAAGAGCAAGAAAAGGAAACAATTGAGTTACAAAAACTGGAACGTGAGAATTTGGAAAGGCAGCAAGCAATGGAAGAGCAGCGAAGAAAGATTAAACGCTTGGAAGAAATAAAAAAATTGAATGCTGCAAAAGCACGTGTAAAGGTTTATGATGAGGTTGAAAGTACTTCTGCAAGCCAGAGTTCATCACAGAGCGTTATAACAGAAAGTAAAATCCAAGCAATCCCTTTCACAGCACATGATTCTTCTCTTGCTCTAAATGTTACCCATTTCCATGATGCTGCAATCGTTGGATCCGTACCACATACTCCCACTGTAATAAACCAAACTCAACAAAGTCTTGCTGAACAACCTGAGGCAAATATGAGCCAAAAACTTAAAGCATCAAGTCCACCATTCATCCCTCAAGCCACACGGGTCTCCTCTGTCGCAGCTCAACAGTCAAATTATGAGCTAGTTGGCATACTAGCAGAAGCAATAAGTGCTAATCATCTTCCAACTCCAGAACCTACATTGTTCACTGGTGACCATTTAAAGTTTAAAGATTGACAGTTATCCTTTAAAACCCTGATAGAAAGGAAAAACATTCCAAAGAATGAGAGACTCTATTATCTCAGAAAGTATCTAGGTGGACCCGCAAAGAGAGCAGTTGAAGGTTTTCTTCTAGTGGGGACAGATGAAGCATATGACTTAGCTTGGCAGGTGCTGGAAAAACGTTTTGGGGATCTATTCACCATAGGAAAATGCTTCAGAGACAAGCTTCACAGCTGGCCTAAAATAAACTCCAAGGATGGAAGTGAGTTGAGAGAATTGGCTGACTTCCTTAAGAATTGTGAGGCTGCAATGTCACATATAAGGTCATTGGAGGTTCTCAATGATTGTTTGGAAATCCAGAAACTCTTGCTAAAACTTCCAGATTGGTTGACCGCAAGATGGAACCGGACAGCCATGAAAATAAGAAGGGCTAGTGATGGAGAATATCCATCTTTTCATGTGTTTGCTGATTTTGTATTCACTGAAGCAGACTTAGCATGTGATCCCATAGCATCAATGCAAGCTCTTAATGGTTTGGAAATAAGTAAACCCAAACAATTACGCAACCAAGTCATCCAAGCTAAAACGCTAACGACAAACTCAAATCACACAAATACTATAAACTGTCCTTTCTGCAAAGTAAATGGTCACACACTTGATAAATGTTTCAGATTCACAGAAACCCCACTTCAAGACCGTGTCCAGTTTGCACGAGCGGAAAGGCTGTGTTTTGGATGTTTAAAAAGAGGACATCACTCCAAAAAGTGTGACAAAAGGAGCACATGTGAAAAATGTCAAAAGAGACACCCAACATGTTTGCACAGTGACATGTTCATTGAGCGTAAAAGGGTAATACCTGCAGTAAGTGAAAAGTCTCAAGACAAGGATGAAGCTGACACTAAAGAAGCAGACAACCCATCGGTTGCGATCTCTAACAGAGTAACTCAAGCTACTTCAAGAACATTGACATCCTCTATACTACCTGTATGGGTTTCATCAAGGAACGACCCAGACAGAGAGGTTTTAGTTTATGCACTCCTTGATTCACAGAGTGATACAACCTTCATCCTTGATGAAGTAGCCCAAGGTCTTGACACAAATAAAAGTAAAGTCAATCTGTGCCTGTCAACTATGTCCACCAAGTCAACAGTTATACCATGTGACAAGCTGGTAAACCTTCAAGTTAGAGGATATAAGGTTGAAAAGAGAATTGCGTTGCCACCAGTCTATACAAGAGAGTTTATCCCTGCCAACAGATCACATATCCCAACGTCTGAAACTGCCTTAAAGTGGCCTCATCTGGAAAAGCTGGCAGATAAGCTACCTCCACTGCTGGGATGCGAAGTTGGTCTACTTATCGGCTACAACTGTCCACAAGCCCTCCTACCACGTGAAGTTCTTGCGGGCCAGGAGAACCAACCTTACGCGCAGTTAACTGATCTCGGCTGGAGCATAGTTGGTTGCTCGTCTCAAGTTCAAAATTAGAATGATGTCATCGGTACAAGTCACAGAATCATTGTTTGTGAAGTGTTTCCTGTTTCAAAATCAGCAGTTGAACTCAAGCAACAAGTGCATTTTGTATGCAGAACTCAAGTAAAGGAAGCCAGTCCAACTGATGTGATAAAGGCTTTGGAATCCGATTTCTCTGAACATGCAATAGATGACAATCCAGTTACACAGGAAGACATTTTGTTCTTGTCAAAGGTGACCAAAGGCATAAAACAGAAGAAAGATGGTCATTACGAACTCCCGTTACCATTCAAAACAGACAATCCAAATCTCCCAAATAACAAGCAAAGTGCTGAACACAGATTGTCTGCATTGGAACGTCGGCTCAAAAGAGATGAGAAATACTATAAAGATTATGTCAAGTTCATGAATGATATTATATCTCACGGAGATGCAGAAAAGGTGCCAGAACAAGAGCTGGACAACAAGACAGCATGGTACATCCCGCATCACGGGGTTTACCATCCCCACAAACCAGAAAAAATACGTGTGGTTTTTGATTGTTCTGCACGCTTCCAGGGAACATCTCTCAATGATCATCTTTTGACTGGACCTGATCTCACCAACACATTGGTCGGAGTGTTATGCCGATTTAGAAAGGGCCCCATCGCCATTATGTGTGATGTGGAAAGAATGTTCCACCAATTCCACGTCGTTAAGGAACATCAAGATTACTTAAGATTTCTTTGGTGGGATGAGGGTGATTTGAACTCTGAACCCTCAGTTTACAGGATGAAAGTACATCTTTTCGGAGCAGCCTCATCTCCTGGATGTTGTAATTTTGGACTCAAGCACATTGCATTGCAAGGTAGAGACAAGTTCAGCAAAGAGACTGTTGACTTCATCCAAAGGGGGTTTTATGTCGACGATGGACTTGCTGGTGTGACATCAACAGCCAAAGCTATACAGCTGGTCAAAGAGTCAAGGGAGCTTTGCAAAACAGGCAACTTACATCTGCATAAGTTTGTGTCAAACAATAAAGAGGTGCTTGCAACAATTCCCCAAGAAGAGCAAGCTCAACCCAAATATCAGAACATGGCTTTTGGAGAACTCCAGATCGAACGTGCACTTGGAATACAATGGTGCGTAGAAGCCGACGAATTCCAGTTCAGAGTTCAAGTTAAAGACAACCCATTGACCAGAAGAGGGGTACTCTCGACTGTCGCTTCCATCTATGACCCACTTGGGTTCGTCGCTCCTTTCACAGTGATTGGAAAGCAAATACTCCAAACATTATGCAAAGACAAGGTTAGCTGGGATGATGATCTTCCAGAATACATTCTACCAAGATGGGAAGCATGGTTGAGAGACCTGCCTAAGCTGGCAGCTCTGAAGATCCCACGAAGCTACTCACAAAACGTCAACATCACACAGTATGAATTGCATAACTTCTCGGATGCAAGCCTCAACGGTTATGGCACATGTTCGTACCTTAGAGCAATAAGCAAAGAAGGACAAATAAGCTGTTCACTCGTCATGGGAAAGGCGAGAGTTACACCTATCAAACAAATGACTATCCCAAGACTCGAACTGTCTTCGGCTGTAACTTCAGTCCGAAATGCGGATGTAATCAAACAAGAACTGGAAATTAAAAATCTACTAGAATACTATTGGACAGATTCACAGGTAGTATTGGCATATATAAGCAACGATGCTAAAAGATTTCACACATTCATTGCCAATCGGATTCAACGAATAAGACAAAGTACAAGTCCTGAAAAATGGCAGCATGTCAGCTCAGAAGAAAATCCAGCTGATCCGGCCTCAAGGGGTTTAACCGCTGCACAACTGAAAGAATCAAACTGGTTGAAGGGTCCTGATTTCCTTTGGAAAAAAGATCTTCCAATCAAGAGGGAAATGTGGGGAGAAGTTAAAGAGACAGATCCTGAACTCCGTGCAGGTCATGCGCACACCGTGCAGTCTAAGGAAGTGAACCCTGTTCTTGAGCGTCTTAAGAAGTTTTCTGATTGGTGGAGAGCCGTAAAGGCCATTGCCAGGCTCAAACGATGTATAAAAGAGTTTAAAGGTGTTAAAGAAAGAACAAACAAAACAACAGATCTTGAAGAGAGAAGAGGCTCAGAAGTGTTCATTATCAAGTTAGTGCAAAGAGAGGCTTTTACTGAGGAAATACAGAGAATCAGATCTCAGAAGGAAAATCCTCTGCACAAACAAGACAAAC